GGAAGGTTTGATGCTTTGCATTTCAATCAAAACGTAATTTTTCTTTTTTTTTCCTTCTTTTTTTTAAAGCCAGTTCAAATTGTTGTTTTGCCAGCTTCTTCCTTTATTCCCTTCACACACACACACACACAGAGCACACACGCACAAAAAGCCATGTAAAGCCTTTATGGTTTATGGGCAAAGCAGCCCCTGCTCCCCACACCTCCCCTGAAAGCCGGAGCGGTGCTGGGCTCCGCAGCCTCCATTATGGAGCCGTGGGTTTGCGTGGCCTTTGCTAGCCAGGGCATCTTCTCACTCCTGGCCCCCTCAGGTGGGACCGAGGTGGCCCTCCTTTACCCCCACCCCCCCCACACCCCACCCTGAGATGGTCCCTGTGTCTTCGGTCGCCATCGGGTGCTGGCACAGGGGAGCGAGATCAACTCTGTCGTGTGTTTATATAATGGCCTTTGTGCCTGTACGTGGGTATTTTATATTATATAAAAGGGGATTGGTGCAAAATGGTGTGTGTGTGGGGGGGGAAGCAGCGCTGGCGGCTGGATAGTAAATTTTTTTTTTTTGAGGCTGTGTAGTATATTGTAGGTGTCTGTGTAATGTTGGATATTCACGTATGCAAACGCTCATGTAGAGCACACGCTTGCTCTGAGGTTGTATGTGTGTTAATCCCTCATGGAAAACTAAATGGTTTAACCGAATGATTGCCTTGCAGCCCCTGGGAACGCTGGAGAGCGCAGGAAGGGTGGCAGGGCAGGGGGGGTTAAGCCTGCTGGGAGGGGCAGGGGGGAGGGAGGGATGGCTTTTTAAATTTTACACGTATAAATAATATATGGAGAGCAATATAAGTGTCATATATAATAATACAAATTTTGTATGTAAAATTTTCTTTCTTCTTCTTGTAATAGTAGACCTGAAGATCAGATGGTAAGGGTGGAAGCTGTAGATGGTGGGGGGTACGTGTGTGAAGTAGGAGCAAATGTGGTAGATGTTTGAACTCCTGGAGCAGTTGTTGGGGGGTGGGATGTGTGTGTCCTGCCCACTCCCCTCACCATGAATCCAGGCTGTTGCTCTCTGGCTGTCCTCCACCCAGGTTTTTCTAAGCACACTTGTGTGTGTGTTGGGGGGGAGATAAGGCAAAATGACAGCTGTGCGAGACCACGATTTTTCACTCCATTATCCTGCTTCCCGCTTCCACCCCCTCGCCCCGGAGCATTTTTTAGATTCCCTTTTGGAGCCTGTTGCTTAATCAGCTAGAAGGGCTGCTGGCTAGTTGGTGTGAGAAACCCTTCTTAACCTGGCTCCTGCTTGTCCCAGGAGGGTGGGACCAAATTTAGGCTTGGGATGGTGGTGTTGCAGAGCAGTAACCGCCGTGCCCTGGTGCGGAGGGAACCCTGCCGGGACCTATTGCCTGGCCTCTGCAGCTTGCTCGGCTGTGCTTGTCACATCTGGGAGTTGGACTTGAGTGGAAGTGCTCAGGGTTTGCAGGCCTGGGCAAACGTGGCCGTGAAGGAAGGAGGTTCGAGAGCCGTCTTCCTGACGGTGGTGTGACGGGTTCCCGGGGACACAGACCTTTGATTGTTTATTGGAGTAGGCGTGTAAGCAAGTCAGATGTATGTTAATATGGTTATACAGAACAGCAGGCAGCGGATAAAAATCATGTCTGTTTGCTGCGCCCTCACCCAGGTACGCCTGCCTCCTCTTTTGGTTCCCAAGGCTCTGCCTACATTCCGTGTAGTAAGAAAGTCAGAAATAGCCACAGGGTTTTGTCGACTCTAGACGCGCAGAAACCCACATGCGTAAGTAAATAGTAGGTGAGGGGACTCCACCTCTAAGTGTTTTGTGTGTGGTTTCTGATGACTGGAGCTCTGCTTTCAGGGTTCACAATGTCCCCTGAATGCCTTGATAGGATTATTTGCCTGTACGTCTCTGCAGCCCGTCCATTCCTCTTTCTGTAATCCCATCTCCTGGGGCAGGAGAAGCAGCTCTGGGTTTATAGTATGCCCAGAACCTTGTAGCTGGGATTATTTTTTTTTTTTGTGCCTGTGTCTCACAAGGCCATTCCTCCTTTCTTTCCTTCAGCGATGCTTCCTTCCCACTGAGCTCCAGCAAGGGAAAGTTCCTCTCACCTACTTGTGAAAACATGAATCATTCCTCACCTTTCCTGTCCCCAGCAGGCTCTGTGCCTGCATTTTGTATGCTAATAATGTGGCATTACATAAATTAGGAGTGTGGCAAATCCCTCTAAAAGGAGCCATGTTGGCTGTCTCAGGAAGAGCTGTGGTTCTTAGCGTCTAAGTTGGTGGCCATGGAAGGGGCAAGGGAAAAGGGGCTGTCAAGGGGGGGGAACTGCTGGAACTGTGTTTGGCCGAGGTGCTTGCAGCAGAAGTTGAGGTTGGCAGGGAGAACAAACTCTGTGGCCGTGGTCCTTCCCTCTAGTTGGTTTTCTGTGGAAGGTGAATAGGCTAAGCCTGGGCATGTCGGATGGGGTATAGCAGGTCAAAGGGTTAGCTAATCACCTCAGGTAAAGGGATGAGGAAAGGCCTGAGCTGCTAAAAAGAAACAGCTGGCACACCTGGGTAGGCAACAGAGATGGAGAGGCTCAGGTAAACGGAAGGAGGCTGTGATCCCATCAGCAGAAGTGTGTGGAGATAAGTAAACAGCGTTCCTAGTTGGTGCATGCCTTGCAGGGTTTAGTTTGGGGAGGTGTCTCCTCCCTGTCCCCTGTGCTGGCCCCCGCCTAGGGGTGATGGAGTCGCTTGCTCCTGGCAGTCTGTCTGTCTCTCGCAGCCTGTGGGTCCTGTGCTTCACTGCCACCGAGGTGCTGGTCTAGGGCTGGGCCAGAGAGTGCTCCTTCTCATAGGGTTTATTATGCCTGTCCCTTCTGGTGTCTCACAAGGTTGCCACAGTCCTGGTGCCAAGTACCGTAGATTATAAGGAGTGGTACCATCTCTCTTCACAGGAACGTGAAGTGATCACCCACTGGAACCTTCTTAGGAGGGATTTCCTGCCCCCTCCCAGTCTCTGAACAACATGGTGGGGAAGAGATTCGGTCTTCCTTCATTCCCATAATGGGGAAAATAGAAAACATGCTTGAAAGGGTCATGTTCCTGCAGCGTTTCTAGCTCAGGGTGTCCCTGGACATCCAGGAGATTAGGAGAGGTGATAGAGGCCATGTAGAAAGTGAAGTATCTCAAGATTAAAAACTGTACCCAGCCTCTGGGTAAAGTGGTGAGATCTCTTCTGTAGCCTTACATGATTCACTTCCTGTTTCTGCTCTGACGCTGCGTTTTTTGTGCTTCTTTTCTCAGCACAGCTGAACCATGGAGCTTCGAGTGGGGAACAAATATCGGCTGGGCAGAAAGATTGGCAGCGGTTCGTTTGGAGACATTTACCTAGGTGAGTGTCAGTCTCTGTCCTTCCACCTGCAAGTTTGTTTTTTCTCAATTGCGTCATTGTTTTGGGGTTGTTTTTCTTGCATGTTGATATTTATGGGCACCATGTAAGGTTGGAGGTGGTGGAGAGAAAAAGAGCTTAAAGGGATACTGCTAGTTGCTGCCGGTCTTATGATGCCAAAGAAAGTTGGATGAGCTCAGCTTTGCCTCACAGGTATTGGAGAGACAGTGGCGTTTGATCAGACTGATTTAGATTTGGACTATTCAGGGCATATTTGTCATACATCCTACTCCAGCTCTCTCACTTCCTTTTCTCGAGCTTGGATGTGGCGGGGTATGAACTCTGTAAAGAATGGGTGGTGGAAAGGGAGGAGGCAGCTGTTCCTTCAGGGTAGAAGGAATAAAGTTTTGGGAAGATTGGTAGTATAAGAGGTGGTCCAGCACCTGTGAGAGAGAGGTCTGAGACCAGGAGGTATAAAACAGGTCAGAGAGGCTGGCCCGGTTAAAGTCCTGGGGCCCAGATCTGTTAGATCTGTAATGGGATTTAGAGTTAATGTCTGGAATGACCTGAGCTGGGAGCTCACTGGAGAGAGCCCATGAGACGCTGGGTTTCCTGTTATCACAGCAGGTCACTTGGGGAGAAGTTCTTCCAAGCCAGCACATTGATATGTAGATATGTTCCCTGATGCTTTGCCTGCTGATGTTTTTATTGGCTCAAACCATGTGGGGCTGGAGCGGCAAGACTACCCAGTAGCCTGATCGATTGTTCCATGAGAGCTGGTGTGGCTTTACCTGTCTAGCTCTCAACACTACCTGTTTAGCTGTAGTCCTGCAGGCCAGCAGAATGATTGCCCTCTCCATTTTTGGTGTTTGTGCCCTTTGGGTACTTACAGATGGTTGTCATATGCTCCTTGACTGTTAATTTGCTCAGTTGAGTTGTATTTTGCTTCCCAGGACATTCACCACTCTGCACTCTTGCTGCTCTTTCAGTTTTTCCCAGTTTGTCCATCTGCTGAGCAGCTTGGAGCCTACACGGCATTTGAGGTGTGGCATTTCCAGTGCTGGGCAGTAAAGGGCTACCCTTGGGTGATCTGTAACGTGACGCCTCTGCATAGACTGCTTTGGGTCTCTTCGGCTTCCCCCATCACCAGTACTGTATCAGGTTGCAGAATTGGCCTTAGTGCACAGTCAGCTGTATTGTAGGAGCTCTCTTCTAGGTTCTGCAACATCTTCCCATCCCTCCCTGAGTTCCTTTTGTTGAATACCTCTAGTTCAGATTACTTTCCCGCATGCTTGTAAGTCAACTTCTGTTTTCTACCTCTGGCTTTTATCTCCACTTCCCTCTTGCTTTATTATTCTCTCTTGATTGGTGTTGGCAGTTTCTCTTGATTAAGTATCCTGTGGGAATCATCAGTAACAGGCTCTGTTGCCACCTTTATCCAGAGCATGAACAAAGATGATACAATGATGGATCTGGGATCCCAGTTCCACCATGTGCTGCCTTCACTGCAGCCTACTCCTGTATGTCACGCCTCTGTGGCCCTCCAGTCAGTTAAGTGTCTCAGGTGACAGTGCTTTCCTTTCCCACGTGCTAGGGATTGAGGGGTGATGGCCTGGACACAGCATTTTCCACCTGTGCTGGGACCTGAAGCCTTCCAGACCCTCTCTAGGACTGTATAAGTTGTTAGGATCTTGCAAAACATCTGGGAAGCATGTGGAGAAAGAAGGGAGGTACTAAATGGAAGGGCCTCTGTATCGCATAATAGGTCATCCACCTGTGCAAAGAGGGCATGGAAAACATGGGCTCCGGTGAAGGGGTTGTGCCCGCCTTGCCCGTAACCAAACACGAGCACCAGTACGCTAGTGTGGTGAGCACAGCAGGATGCCTCCAACAGCCAAGTTCAACCATGTTACTTGAATGCAGTATCAAAGCCCTTGTGATGTTCATTGAGGTGCAAGCCAGCGTGTTTTGAAACAGTGATAGCGAGACTTCTTGGAGCCTGGGTGACTCCCCAGCCTGGAGGGATCAGGCATGTAGTCTCTGATGGTGCGTCTGGAGGACGCTTGTGCTCATGCCATCCTCTCACAGTCTGTTCTGCAGACAGAGGGACTTATTCACAAGGTTCTGCACCAGATTCACCTCACAGTTCTCTCTCTTGATAATGGTGTGGAGACTTAAGTACAGACAGACAAGCCCTGTCTGTCTCTGAAGGTGAGCATGGGCTGTGTGGTTTGTTCCCAGCTTCTCCATCTCAGGCTGTTGGTGCCTTCATGCGCTCTGTAACCAGTGGGTGCTGTGTGCTGTGCTTTTTGGGATTTGCTAGTGCGTTTTCTGGCAGAAAGAAACTTGAATTTCCACACGGGCACACACAAAGGATGGACTCCAGTTAATCCTCAGCTGGGACTTAAAGCACAATGTCTTGCTCCCATGCTCTACCTTGGGGGATAGATGTGCTATGGGGGGAATTCCCCCAGCGTTGGCTCGGCAGGGTGGGAGATGAGATCCAGCTGCCCTGGGCCTCGGCTACCCTGTTTGCCTCTAAAAATAGCTCAATCAGAAAAATCCAGTTTTCAGAGGAATTGCCGATTCCTTTGGGCTGTCAGAGGAGAGGTGCTTTGTCAGAGGTGTCAGCCAAGAGGCAGGGCAGGGTTGCTGGATGTGGTAGGGATCGTTGGGACCGGGATGCACTGGAGGAGGGGGGAGTGGTGGTGGTGGAGAGGAGCTGGGGATGGTGGGGCAGACAAAGCATGCTGGGACCTGTGCTGGCTGGGGACAGTTCCTGGTGGCAGGCTCCTCCCTTGCTGGGAGGGGAGTGCCTTCCCTTTGTTTCCTGGCCTGTTAACTCTCTCTCGCCCTATCTGACTTCTTCCATCTGTTCCCAGCCCTCCATTCTTCCCGCACCAAGCTGGCGAGAGGGGAGCGGGCAGTGGGGAGAGAGGGGGGATGTGCCTGTTGGCTTGCCCGATGCGCAGGGAGGGCAATGTTTATTGTATCAGACACGCAGCAAGGCTTTCATGCTGAAAAGATCCTGTTTAGCTGGTGACATCCTCTGTCCCTGGGGCCCCGTTTCAAACAGCTCGTGATGAATGAGTTGAATTTGTGCAGCCCCCACAGCGGAGCGAGACTGGGGGTGGATGTTAGGAATTATCCCCAATCCTACATACGTCTCTCGAGTGGCTGGAGCTAGGCAGGCTCTGCAGCATTTGTCTGAAACGTGGTGCTCTCCAGTCTGGAGAGGGAGCACAGAACTGTTGCTTTTGTACTTGTATCTTTAAAAAAGATGGTGGTAAAAGCATGGAACAAAGGATCAGAGAGACTTGGGCCCTTGAATTCCCTCCTCAGTTGTGGTGGTCTCACTCTGGGTAGATCTCTAGCCAAAAAATGGCAGAGGGAGCAACGTGAAGACATATGGGGGTTTGGGGAGGGGGGTGAGCCTGAAGTATTCAGTCGGTAGCCCCCTCCGCAAAGCTCCTCATTAGGTCCAATTGGTCCTAGTTTTGCTGTTCCGGACCACAGGGTTGTTTCTTCTTTTTCTTAGAGACTAACACCCATGTTTGGGCTACAGAGAGTGTGGGGCTGAAGGCCATGTTGATCATTTGAATGGCATATTCACACTTTGCAGAATCAAAGTTCTCTTGATGCTTATCCCTTCTTTCCCTTTTCCTGCTTTACATGCTCACAGATAACACTCCCCACCTGCAGACAGCCTAGTAGATGGGCGCATCCTCATCTTCCTAAACACGCTGGGAAATGTGGAGATGAGAACTCATTCATCCTTCCACTATTCAACTTCGGGGAGTAGGGTTCATTCGAAATGCTAATGCTGCTGCTGCCAAAAGTCAGCAGGACTTATCGTTGTGTGTGTGTCGGCAGATGGAATAGGAGAGGGAAAAATTCCCCCAGGGAACAGACAAGGGAGCTGCTGCAGAGCATTTGGAGGAAAGTCTTCACAAAGGCAGGGGAAAGAGAGAAGGGGAGGGAAGCGCTCTTATCTCTTTGGATGTCCTGGGTGTTTCCACGCTGAATGAGTGATTCAACACTAATTTGAAAGGTAGATACTAGTCCAGGGCCATGTTCTTACTGTGATCTGAGCCCCTTTCCCTGCTTTTTTTCTTCCTTGCACTCCTGATGCTGGTAGGAAGGGTCCTGTCGTGGAGTGAAAGGAATGTGCAGACTTGCTTTGCTGGCCAGCAGTTTTTAAGTGGGAAAATGTCAGCATCTCTCTAAAAGTAACTATTGGACAACTGGCTCTAGCTTTCAGGATGGCTTTTTCCCTTTCCCTTCTCCTGGCTCTTGGGTAAAAACCCTTATTAAATTCATCCCACTGCTCCTCCTTCCACTCCCTCAGAGCACCCTAAATAATTCCTCTCCCTCCTTAGTGTTTACAGCCTTCAAATATTTGCAGACTGTTGTCATGTCCCATTCTTCCTCTCCACCCTTCTTAGTTTTATCTCTTGTCTATGCTACATATTTAGCTCTTTTAATCTTTCTTAGTAAATCAATCCCTCTAGGCCCTGATCGTTTTTGTTGCTCTCTTACAAATTCCTAGCAGCTTGTCTGTCTCAACCCGATGCTGTAGTATCAAGATGACGTCTTTTTGCTAGCAGGCTAACTTTGTGTACAAGCCAGAACTCTTCAACAGGAGATGGATCTCCTTTGGATCCAGGGGGAGACAGGATCCAGTTGTGTGACTATTTCCTTTTTCTCTTTGGTCCCTGGCTCTGGAGGCAGTGTGTGAAAGAGGATGGATGGAGAGATCTGTCTGCAGCTGTCCTTGTGGACTCTTGAAAGTCTTACTGCAGGGATAGGGAGGCATGAATTAGTCAGACCTACCAAAACTAGCTATGGGATATCTACAAAACATTATTTTTGACTCCAGCTCATGTTTGGCATGCATGTTCTGGAGTAGTTTATTCTATGTCAGTGTTCATAAGCTGCTTGTGATCAGAGCAGTTTTCTGATTTGTTTTTGAGTGCAACTTTTAATAGTTTGGGATATGAAGAAGGGCTTGTCTGTGTGTGTGAGGCAGGCATGGGAGGGGGAGAGAGAGAGAAGCAAGTCCTGAGTGTCATTCCCGTGACCTGTGTACAGATCTTAATTCTTTCCATTTTAGGATGATGTGAAACATCTGGAATCCTCTCAGCTAATATGAGAGAAAGACCAGCCTGTTCTTCCTTTGACAGTGCACTTTGGGACCAGAGTGCTGGCTTTCGTGGCTGGCAGCTCAGTTCTTTTCAGAAAGAAGTGCGTGGGGTGGTGGTTTTGTGTCATCGCAAACTATCTAGCAATACCTTCAACAAAGGCGTCTGAGTAGCTTAATTCAGTACCGGATTCCGTTTATTTCTTCACGCTTCTAATTTAGGATATAGCAAATGTTTCTGTGTTGGCAACAGATAAAGGTAGTATTAAAGCAATCAGGAGAGGGAGAAGCTGGAGTGGAGATTTGGGAATTGTCTGTATTGAGCAGGTCAGGGCTGTGGAGAAACCAGAGGTAGCCGGGAATGTTAGCCATGTCTTCTCCTTAACTAATTGGCTCTGTTGAAACTATGTACCTGAGGTAACCAGTAATTTTGCTCCCGAAGAGGTACTCCATATCAATGCCTGGGGGGCTGGCTTGGGTTCAGGGGCTAGGTATACAATCAGGGACAGCTAAAACTTCCACTCAGTTTAGCTATTGCTGATACATACAGATTGACCGCCCAAAGTCTGGCACTTCTTGAGATAAGAAGGCAGTTAACATGTCATAGGACTGTTGTTCTAGCCTGGCTGCAGTATCAGAGCTGGCTTCCTGTTCCTGTGCCCTCTTCTGGGCTTGCCTTTGCAAATGGCAGTGCTGGAAACTCAATATGAAGCTGAAGGGGCTGCATCTCATTCTGTCACAGAGAATAAATTTCAGGGCAAATCTTAAGGTTTTGGCATCTGTACGGGCCTTGTTAAAAGTGTTTAGCTTCAGTGGAAGCTTGCATAATCTTCATTTCACCCTCATTTCTATGCAGGAGCCAATATTGCGACTGGTGAAGAGGTGGCCATCAAACTGGAATGTGTCAAAACCAAGCATCCCCAGCTCCACATTGAAAGCAAGTTCTACAAGATGATGCAGGGAGGAGGTGAGATGGGGAGGAAAGGATGGGGCCGGGGGAGTGGTTGAAGAAGGAAATTATTCTGGAGGGCCTTAGAAAGGAAATGATTTGGTGTTACATGTGATCTCAGCAGGGGATGCAGCAGTTTTCCTCTGTTCCATGGGCTTAATCTTTCTCTTTTTTTCCCCAGTGGGTATCCCCTCCATTAAGTGGTGTGGAGCAGAGGGGGACTATAATGTGATGGTGATGGAGCTCTTGGGGCCCAGCCTGGAAGATCTCTTCAACTTCTGTTCCCGCAAATTTAGTCTCAAGACAGTTCTGCTCCTGGCAGACCAGATGGTGAGTTTCCTCTGAAGCATTTGTGCCTACTCTCCTTTTCCATGCCTTCTTTTTTTTTTTTTTTTTTTTTTTTTTTTTCCCCCCCCTTCCCCCTCCCACTCCCTCTGCTCAAGAATTGCTATATCCCAGGCTTTTTTTAATTAGCAGCAAGTGGCTGCCAGCTTTCTATTTCTTGATGAAGCTGGGGGCCTAGGCACTGCTGGCTTTTCTTGATCTCCATCCCTCCTTCCTTCCCCTGCTGTTCACCCTGTATTAGTGCTGCATGCATAGATGCTTTTACCTGTGTGATGAATGACTGGCATCACTACCTATCTTGATTCACCTGCCTGTGCCCTGGGTTTAAGACCCTTATCTGTTTTGGACCCTCTCCTTTCCCAGCCTGGCTAAGTTTGAAAGTTGGTTGGTGTCAATATTGAAGCTCAGAGTTTTAGTCCATATGAATGTGCTTCCCATCCTTCCTTGTGGTGCTAATGGTGACTTCCCCAGATGCAGGACTGGGCTGGTGTGTGGGGTTGAATTCTGTCTCTGTTCTTCATCTCCAGATCCTTCTGCCTTGAGGGTGTCTTTTTTCCTTGACTGTCATCTCTGATATTCTCTGCAAAATGTCCCTTTCCCTGCTCTGACAGGCCAGTGTCCTGGACAGGGTGCTTTTTTTAACAGATGCAGTTGTGCTAAGTTACCTTCTTGCTTGTCTCACTATTTATTTATTTATTCCCCCCTACAGATCAGTCGTATTGAGTACATTCATTCCAAGAACTTCATCCACCGGGATGTGAAGCCAGACAACTTCCTTATGGGCCTCGGCAAAAAAGGCAACCTAGTATACATCATTGATTTTGGTTTGGCCAAGAAGTACCGAGACGCCCGGACCCACCAGCACATCCCTTACCGGGAAAACAAGAATCTGACTGGCACAGCCCGTTATGCCTCCATCAACACCCACCTGGGAATCGGTGAGCCTGCTGTTACCCCTTGGTGGGGCTTTCCAGGGGAGGTAGTGTGTCCCCAGAAGGAGGGTGTTGGGTTCTGTGCCTGGCTCTGTTGCTGACCTGTGTTGAGATGGTGGGTAAATAACTTCACTTTTATGCCTGTGTTACCTTGCCTGCCTTTTGTGGCACTCTGAGCTCCTGAATTGTCCGCTGGTATGTGTTTGTGTGCTGCTTAGCACAGTGGAGGCCTATTTCAGCCAGCAAGGCTATGACTTCACTGACTTTACTGCTAACTAACTCTGCCTTGCACAATTTTTGCAGGCTGATTAGATGTGTAAAGGAGATGTTTGCAGGCACTGAGCCTTTAGGGATATGTGCAATTGTAACTTCTCTTGTTGACTCCTGAGTGCCTTCATCAGTGATTATTCTCTAGCTGTCAGAGCTGGAGGATACAGGCCCACTGCAAGATGGTGATACTCCTGTTACCCACCACTGAGGACAGGGACAAGCCATGTGCTGGAAATGTGCAAGAAGCTGAAATGAGGGGAGGCTTCCTACTGCCTGGGCATCAGGTTTTGTGATTGAGGATTGGCTGTCATGGGCCTTCAGAATATTTGTGTGTCTGTGAAATACACTGCCCCATTCACCACTGAGAGAGATTGAAGCAGCTTTAGGGAGGTAGGGCGCTGCCCTTAGTGCCTATGGCTAGTACTGCGAGGATAAAATTAGGCTGGGGAAGAGGGCTGAGAGGTCAGCCAGGGATGGCCGTCATCCCAGGTTTTGTAAATCCTTGCGCAGGTTAGTACCTGCCGCGCTTAAACCTCCTGAAGTCACCCCAGCTCTTGTCCTGGGAATGAGCCCCACATGAAGCACAACACCTGGTTGCTGTGAGGAACAGAGGTGAAAACCTTTTGCAGTTTCCTCTTCCATTCCCTGGCCAGACACTTCTCTCCGGTGTGTGACCTTTTTCCCCTACTTGGGCTAAACTTTGTCCACAGTGCAAGAGTTTCTTAGTTACCGTAGGGTCTGTTCTGGGCAGGCTGACTCGGTTCTGCTACTGGTTGGCAAATCCGAAGAGCAGAAACACTGAAGCTTCCCTGCCTGCAGACCCAGGAAAGCAGCTCCTGTGCTCACAACTCAGTTTATATCTCTGGGAGACCTTATTCTGAAATGTATAAGCTGGGAATTTGAAAATCAGAGCAAGGAACTCCAAACCTTTTAAACTAACAGCTTCCACAGGATTTTATGTCCTCATTCTTCCTAGGGAAAGTTTCCCATTCTCCCCTCTTGCAGATGGTTTCTCAGAAATCTGGAGTTAAGACTTGACCTGCAGAAAATAAATCAGTTTCCCACTGTCTTCCTTGCTTAATACTGTATAATGGTAGGCTGAAAATGCTTTATTTATATCGAAATGGGGAGTGTTAATGTGTTGAGAGTGGGCTGTGATCTCCTGACCTCTTCCACGTAGTAAAAATAGTTCTCATAGAGCTTTCCGAGTTGGTCTTCTGTATTTTGGCCTGAAATATATATATATCTATATATATATATCTGAAATATATATATATCTGACTGTCCATTGAATTCTCAGTCAAGATTTCCACGGCCATGGTAACTGCCACAAGGAGACATGCACAAAATAATTCTCACTACTATGTCTGTCAGTTCTTTCGTGTGAACTGCTCTGTCTGAACTGATCACGAGAGGCTGAATGTCTGGTTGTGGGGTTGGTGGTTTTGTTGTGTGGGGGTGTTTTCTTGTTTTTTTGGTGGTTTTTTTTTGTTTTTTTTTTTTTTGAAGGACTTTATTCATCCCACCCCAACTTAGCCCTTTACTCCTGGTGCTTGGTTTATGTATCAGGATGAACAAACAATGTCTGAACACTAATCCAAGGGCAAATTGCATATGCCATCGGCCTGAGCACAGCCGTCGCTCTCTTCATGCTCTTTGCTTTGGGAAGGTCTGGGCATGAGTTACTCTGTGCAACAGGTCTCAGGGTGTGTTATCTCCACGTTGCCGGTAGTTCCCCTGAATTGCATAAAGGTTACATGACTTGCCTGGAGGAGAGGGGTTGGGGGCGTCAGGGCTGCAGCTGGAGTTCCTGTTTCTCAAGACCTTGCCACAGGGTGTATGACACTCACATTCGTGAGTTAGCAGCATTGCCATGGGAACCGTCGCTCTGAATTTTTTGACTTTCGGAGACTAAATTCTTGTGTCTTAATGTTACATTAATGCGGTTTAGGGAGAGGGAAGGAACCAGGTGCTGGAGTATTCGTGTGATGGGAATAGCAAATGAATAAATGCCTTCATTTGAATGTGCAAGCTAAGGGTTGGGCATTCCACTGTCTGGAGGAAACGCATTCTTTTCCCAGTGACTGGGGGAAAAAGTAGGAGGCGAGATTGGGGAGGGTTTCCACAGCTGGAGACTTGCTGTTGGGAGAGTCATTGGACTGTGCAGGCTTTGGTTCACGCATTCCAGTCAATTTTCACATGCTCTGGGGATGAGAGTCCCTTGCACCCTCTGGAGCTTGTAAAGTCTGAAATAGATGCCCAGGGGTGCCCAGGAGACAGTCTTGGGAGAAGCCTGGTGGGCTCTGTCTGGGTAACAGGAGGTGGGGGGCAGTTCCTCCTCAAACGTGTGTCCTAGATGGTATCGGCGTAAGCTGTGCAGATCATAAAGTTCTTCTTGTCCTGCCCTCTGTCACCCATTCCAGATTTTTGTGTGGTTTTAAAGGCTGTGGCCGTGCGGTGGGGAGAGAAAGTCCCAGCAAAATCAGATCCGAGTATGTAATCAGGAAAACATTGCTTGGTTAAGGCTGCTTGCAGCTGGGCTGGCTTCAGTGAGGACAGCTGATTTCTAGGGAGTCCTGCATGGGGACAGCATCACTTTGGATAGGATCACGGTGGAGGGAAGCACTCCCCTGGGGGACCAGGAGGCACTTTAGGCTGCAAAGAAACAAATTTTGTCATGAACCTTGTGTCCAAGACAGACAGTCCTCAATTTATTGTCTTTGCCCAAGCATGTCTTCCCCAGGTAACTCACTGTCCTGCTATTCAGCCTTGACTCAGCTCCTTCTGAGGACCCTGCTTTGGGAAGGGAGCAAGGGTGTGGGCTGGCTGGGAACCTCCCTGGGAGTGGGGGGGAACTGGCAGGAGATGGCTTGCAGAGTGGGTTGGGTTTGAGAGGGCTGCGTGGGAAGGTGACCTCCTGTTTTCTGTTGGAAGGTGGTGTTTGAGTGAGGGAGGAAAGGATGAGTGTCTTATAAAAGTAGCAATCCCCTATGTATTGGTGGAGAACTGAGAAGCTGAAATAAAATGGAGAGGGGAAGTGTGATGCAGTGTCACAGGTCGTGACTGTAATCCTGCTTCTGGACTGACTTGCTCTGGGCACGCATTCACGTCACTTCTGTTTCTCTTCTCAAACTGTAAAGTGAGATTTCCCCCCCTGCCCCCTCCCCCTGCATCCCAGGGATGCTGCAAGAGTTAGTCAATGATTGTTAAGCTTCTAAAAGTAGAAAGTAGTGAAATTAAATAATGTTTCTTTGGTGTGTAGAGGTGAACTTTTTTTTCCTAACTAATTAATTGCTCTACTTTTTACTGTCTAATGTTATTGAGTATCTTGAGGATGTTGGTATGTGAGGCCAGGAAAAAAAAAAAATAAAAATTTGGAGATGTGTAATAGTAACTGAAGATGAAACAAAGGAATGGGATGCAGGAACCATTGTTCTCCACTATCATCCAAGGTTTAATTCGGGATCTTGTCATTAGGGTTACAGGTGAGACAGCTACAATGTTTTGAGGTAGCTTGACAACTGTGACCCATCATGTTGGTATTTCAAGCTTGTCATAGATTTGAATCTCACTGACATGGTTTAAGTGGGCTACAATGACCACATGTACCTGAGATACTGGACATCAGGGATGCAAAGCAATCAGACATCTATCATTCAGCATTTTAATAATTAGGTGTTGTGCTTGCAGTTGTTTTTCCTCCATCATATTGCTGTGTTAAGGCACAGTTAAGATGTGTTTGCATGCATGTAATGGATACTACTAGTGAGCTGCCCAGTTTGGTTTTGTAACCCCTCTCATTGCCTCCAGTAAGGGCTTGTAGCATCCCTCACTGACTTCAGGCTCCCTAACCTCAAGTCTCTAATTTTGGCCTTCCTCAAGTCACAAGGACTGTGCCTAGGCAGATGTTCGCAGAATGTCTCCTGTTCTGGATGGGGTTGGTGGCTGTGCTTCAAAGCTGCTGTGCTCCACACGAGTGGAGCTGCATGGTCCAGCCTTCCCTAAGCAATGTGAACTTCAGTCAAGGTTTTGTTGGCGAGATCCTGTTTTATTCCAAAAAGGCTGATTTGTTTGTTCAGAGTAGGTCTCTCTGGTTCCTGCCCTGCCTTCTCCTATTTCTCTGAGGGTCACCACGCTCTAGACAGGGAAGCTACAGTTACAGGCTTTAAAGCTACAGCATGGATAAGTCAGGGGCTGGCAAATTGCAGGATTGAGGGTATTGTTGTCTCCTGTGCTTTCAGGCACTGGATGTCCATTCTGACTTCATTTCCACATGCCTCCTGTCTCAGGATGTAGGTTGTTATGAAATCTTATTTAGTTTTATTTATTTGATATACATGGTGTGTAATCACGGCCCTCTGAGAGTACACATATCCCAATGTTAGGCCAAATGCAAACCTGTGGGTTTCTTTTCCCTGCTCCCTCCATAGCATCTAGGCATCTCCCAGCCAGTCATGTAGTTATCTTTGGCAGCAGCCTGATAGGATTAGGAAGTATTAGCCCCTTTAAAGTGGGCAACTTGGGGCAGTAAGTAAGTGAGGTCAAAAAATGCTGTTATTTCTGCATGCTCAAAGTAAGACACTTTGGGGGTCTGCAGGGCTGCTTTCTCCTCTACTCCTTTCTTGGAACATGGCGTTTTTATGGCATTTCATGTGCTTTGACCCAAAGGTTTTCTCCTCTCAGTTATGGAGTGAGGACGCCCTCCTTTTCTTTTGCAACCACAGCAATTTTTCTTTTTTTTTTTTTTTCCCCTCCCCCTAATATTTTTAATTTGTCAAACTCCCTAGTTCTCAAAAACACTAGGAGGTTATGAGAGAGATGCAGGAGGAAGAAGAGCCCATGGTGACCCACAGCTTGTGTCGGTACATCTGGACATCTTGATCTGTGACCTGCTACAGCTATCCCTTTGTCATGGTTCTGTTCGGTTAACAGAGTAAGGGGCAGCTGTAATAATCTACTGACCTTTGAATGGGGCAGGTGGCAGCATGTAACTGATAGTGAGAATTAACCCACAGACCAATACATAATCTGCAGCATCTCCCAGGCACTGAATTCAGCAAAACATGCTGTAGTAGTAAATTAATCTAAGATGAATCTCTTTGGTTTTTCCTCTAGCCCTGTACTCTCCCTCAAGTCATATTTTGCTTGTCCGTGTTATTTATGAAAGTTGTTGTTCTCCTTACGATGTAAAGTACTTTCTCCAAATTGTTTATTTTATTTTATTTGGGAGGGGAACAAGGGCAAGAGCTCCTTGGCAGAATTTATAGATGAATTTGTAAGCATGTTGGAGGAGCCAGGAGGAGGTTCCTAAGTTAACCAGTCAACGTTTTCAGTTGCTGAGATTCTGCATCAGCTCTATCTTGACCTAACTTGTTCGCTGGAATGGCCAAGCCATTTTAAGTTCAAGTTCAGTGTGGGATGTTTTTGTTTGGGAAACAATTTATTTTGTTTCATAAATAAGCATTCTAATATGCCTTACAGTGGCATATTAAGGGCAACCCTTGCTCTGAGAAGAGTTGGTAATGATGCCACTCCCCATTTGGAGTGGAACCTTTTGTTCAAAGTATACTCTGTTTTCATGCCTCTTTCCTCCACAGCTTGAAAAATGCCACCAATCCAGAAAGATCTTCGCACAGTATTACCCGTTAGGTTTCTCTAAACTGTCAACAAAGTAATTTACTACAAGAAGGGGCTGCTGGTTCCTTGTTTCTGCCCTGTGTAAAGAGTATCAGCAGGTTAATTAGAAGATGTGTTTGGAAGGGTTGTGTTGGGCTTGCCTCTGTTAGCTTTGCCTTTCTGTGACTACCTCTGTCATGACTAATCCCCGGGGTGAAGTATCATTCTGGGTGGAGAAGTGTAGGTGCCCTTCCTCTGGGACTGGGAAGAGCAAAGTAGACAGTGTCACTGCAGCACTTCTTGAGCTGTTGAATTCTTGTGTGAGCTAAGGTTTATCCAAGGGAGGAGGTAATCAGAGTAATTATTCATTTATGAAGTGGGTTGGGCTGTATGGGGAGAGGAGCACTTTAACTCTTGCAGTATGAGCATCCCCACAGGAATTTGTAGTGGAATGTCTTCCACAAGTTTGTCTATCCATAGAAATCCATTGAAGAAGGGAGTGGGTTTTTTTTCTTTTGTTCTGTGTTCACCTCCATAGCTGTGTGATTCCCAAAGCAGTTTTGGTTGTTGCTCATTCCTTGCCCTTTTGTAACTTCTCATAGAACAAAGCCGCCGTGATGACCTGGAGAGCCTGGGCTACGTGCTCATGTATTTCAACCTGGGCTCGCTGCCCTGGCAGGGCCTCAAGGCTGCCACCAAGCGCCAAAAGTACGAGAGGATCAGCGAGAAGAAGATGTCAACACCCATTGAGGTGCTCTGCAAAGGGTACCCTTGTAA